CAGGTCAAGGTTGCGGTGGTCGTTAGCGTGCTACTGCACTCCAGCCCGGGCAACAGAGTGACACTCCAACACAAAAAATAAAATAAAGTAAAATAAAATATCTTGCAAAGTTACAGAGATTTAAGTGGCATAATTTAGGAAGTAGATATACATTTTTTAAATTGTAAAATGCCAGGGACAATGTATTTGACATTTATCATCTGTATCATTGAATCTTCACATTTATCCAATTTGACACTGAGGAAACTAAGATTTAGAAAACATAACTAGTTCAGTGTAGTACATAGTATTACTTGTTTATAATTCTTCGTTCTCTCCAAGTTCTTGACATGCCTTCCTTGTGGGGGCAATGTACTTTCCATTGCCATTCACTTAGGGTTGACTGTGTGATTTTCAGACCAATGCAGGGTGAATAGAAGACAGAATGTATTGGATTGAGGTTTAAAAAGTGTGACAAATTTCAGCCAGTCTTCTTGCACTTCTCTCACCCATCATAAGAAGAATATGTTCTCAGGAGCTATCATTATTTTAACCTGAAAAAAGAGAAATGTGGAGCTGTCATAAGCCTGACCTTCAGCCTGAAGTGAAGTCCGTTTGTGTCCAGAAGGACACTGCAGTGTCACAGCTAACCCAGAGAAATAAATGCTTGTTGTTGTAAGCTATTGAAATTTGCGGGAGTGTTTGTTACACAGCACCATTTCAGCAAAACCTGAACCATACCTCAGAAGCACACAGCTATACCACTTGGTTGAGTTTATGGTTAAAAAAAAATAAATAATCACACAATAATAAAGATCAATAAAACAGAAGAGAAAACCTGGAGCTTGGTTACAATATATTTGAGAACTTAGTAGCAAAAATATGGATTGCTCAAAAAATGATATGGAAATATTAACTAACCATTTGGAAAAAATATGACTAAATCTCTAAGTCATACCTTATAACAACCCTCAATAGGTTAAAGATATAAGTGAGAAATACAAAAACATAAATATAGTTAGAATAAAACGTAGGAGAACTTTTTTCTTACTAATCTTGTTATAGAAAATGTTTTTCTAACAATGATACCAAAGGCATTAATTTGACTATATAAAAACTATGTATAGCAAAATAGAATAACAAGGTAAAAAGATTAAAGACATACTAAAAAAGAATACAAATCACAAAAGTTTAATATTTTTAATTCTTGAGAAGCACTTATAATTCAATAATAATAAGATTTATATTCCAGAAGAAAAGCAGGAATAAGATAGAATAGTTAATTCACAAATGCAGAAAAATGATAGGCCATAAACATAGGAAAACATGATAAACCTCATTAATTAACCAAATTCTAAAAATTAAAAGAATAAAATACTATTTCCCATCTATCAGAATGTAAAATATTTTAAACATAATATTAACATTCAATACAGGAAAGATTCGAAAGTAAAATCATTATGACCTCTTTGTAGGACAGTTTGGCAATAATACATATTTTAATTTTAAACACAAAATAATTTTAAGACAAGAGTGTTACAATTATGCAGACTCGTTGATAGAGTATTTCCATTTCTTAAGGAATAATGTGTCAAATGTGAAAAAAATGTATTACAATATTTATTGTAAAAAATTTGAAACCACCTAAATGTTAATCAACAGGGGATTTATCAAATAAATTGTGCTACAACCATAAAATAAAGTATATATTTAATTATAGTCATTAAGAGTTATGAAGATCTGTATTTATGGACTTCAAAAGATAGTACTGAGCTAGACACAGTGGCTCATTCCTGTAATCCCAGCACTTGGGGAGGCCAAAGTGGGAGAATTGCTTGAGTCCAGAAGTTCAAGACTAGCCTGGGGAACATAGTGAGATCCTCCCACTTCAGACTCTCTAAAAAAAATATATATATATATATATATTAGCCAGGCATGGTGGCGCTTGCCTATAGTGCCAGCTACTGGGGAAGCTGAGGCTAAAGGGATTGCCTGAGACTAGTAGGTCAAGGCTAATGTAAGCCATGATCACTGTCCTCCAACCTGGGTGACAGAATGAGACCTGTCTCAATAAAAAACACCATAAACAAAAACAAAGACATAGCTGTAATTATACATTAAGAGCAAAAAAAGGATATAAAACTGTATGTATGAACAGTGTGGTCTCATTTTTATAAATATGTAAAATATATATTAATATAATTAATTCTTGCAGAATAGGCAAAATACTTACTTATGGTAACTTTTCTGAGTGATAGGATTATGGTTGATTTTCATACAAAAAGTACTTTTTTCCTGCAGTATTTGAATACTTTTTGTAATGATAATATACTTATAGTGAGAAATAAAGAAATGTCTTCCCCTTTTGAAAAGAAAAAATATATGCAAATACTGTTTTCTACAAATATGGGGAAAAAGTCTATAGGACCCCAAATTAGTCATGGATAGTGTTCTTCCCTGACTGGGTTCTCATAAATTATTCATGGAAATTCTGTCTATCCTAATAATTATTTTTGTTCATTATTCATTAGCATTTCTTTTAAAAAATGACAGGTATTTTATTCTGCAGTCAGTTACATTGTAGAATATTCCTCATAAAAGCTATTTTCTTAAGCCATGTTTACATGATTCAAAAAAATCACATAAATAAAAACAGTTACATTGATTAAATATATTTCTATATAAATCAATTATTTTAGCTTGAACTTGTGAACTGACTAACTTGAATGGACCATTTACTTCAGAATTATTTTTAAAGTCAAAGTCAAGAAAATTTTAAAAATCAACAGTTTCCCTCAATTATTGAGAGAAAAAAACAATTAGAAAATAGTCTTAATGAGACAAATTAACTTTACAAACAATAACAATTATATAATATATATGACATTATATACAAGTTTCTCTATATATCAACCTATAAATAGAGATACAGATATATAAAACCTAGGTATAAACTAACAAACTACATAGCTTGTGTAGTACCCATATGAAGAAATTCCAAACTTTACTAAGGAACATACTTTTTGAAAGTGTTTCTATATGAGTAAATGACAGTATTATAAGGATGTCCAAAGTTATTTATAAATGTACTGTAATTCTGCTTAGAATTTTTAATGAATTTTTAAATTAGTTATGACATTTAAAAATGTGGGTTTTTAAAAAAAATCAGGCAGCCCCTCAAGCCAGAATAGGTAGAGAGACTCCTATGTTTTTATATGAAAATAATACGGGTTCCTTATGAAAAATTAAAGCCATACATAAAGTGTTAAATGAAAAATACTGTCCTCAGCCTGCATCCTGCCCCCTCAATCCAACTCCCCAGAGATAAATCATTGTAAAAGGCTTTTAAAAACTAACTGTGCCGGGCTCGGTGGCTCAGCCTGTAATCCCGCGCCTTTGGGAGGCTGAGGTGAGTGGATTGCCTGAGCCCGCGGGTTCGAGACCCGCCTGAGCAGCGAGACCTCATCTCTACAAAAAATCAGCCGGGCGTGGTAGCGCATGCCTGTAATTCCGGCTACTCGGAAGGCTGAGGCGGAAGGATTGCTGGAGCCCAGCAGGCGAGGCTGCGGTGGCCGGGAGCGGCCACTGCACTCTAGTCTGAGTGACAGAGTGAGACTCCAACTCAAAAAATAAAAAATAAAAACAAACTGTGACCTGTCACGGTGGCTCACGGCTGCAATCCCAACACTTTGGCAGGTTGAGGCATGAGGAATCACTTGAAACCAAAAGTTCCAGACTGGCCTGGGCAATATAAGGAAACTACCTAAAAAAAGTTGTGTGTGGTGGCATGCCCATAACCCTGGCTATTGGGAGACTGAGGCAGGGGAGGATCACTTGAGTCCAGAAGTCAAAGGTCACAGTGAGCTATGTTCATGTACTCCAACCTGGGTAACAGAAGGGCAACTGTCTCTGAAAAAAAAAGGTGATAAAATGCACACAAAATAACATTTACCATTTTAACCCCTCCCCTTTTTTTTAGTCAGGGTCTCACTCTGTTACCCAGTCTGGAGTACAGTGGCATAATCACAGCTCACAGGCAGCCTTGACTTCCTGGGCTCAGGCAATCCTTCTGCCTCAGCCTCCCAAGTTGTGGGCTCTACAAGGGCACACCACCGCGCCTGGCTAATTTTTTGTTTTTTGTAGAGGCCCGGTATTGCTATCTTGCCTAGGCTGGTTTGAACTGGGCTTAAGCAATCCTCCTGCCTTGACCTCCCAAATTGCTGGGATTACATGCATTAGACACCACATCAGGCCCCACTTCGAGCATTTTTAAGTGTATGAGGGAGAGATCCCTCAAAAAATGAAATTTATTTTTTAAAAATTGCATATTTATTCTTCCATGTTTAAGCTTCACTAACCTTCAAAGTACTCTCCATTTGATGCACTACATCTATTAAGATGCTTTTTCCAATGCTCAAAACAGTTTTTGAACTTGTCAATTTTGATGCCTTTAAGTGCTTCTGCCATTTTCTGTTTCACCTCTTCCATATGGGCAAAACTTTTCCCTTTGAGAAATTTTTTTCATCCCGGGAAACAAAAAAAAAGTTGCTGAGGCAGATCAAGTGAAGAGGAAGGGTAGGGCGCTGGGGTCATGCTGTTTTTGGCCAAAAACTAATGAAGAGTCAGCACTGTGTGGGCAGGTTGTTCATGTAAATCACCCATCATGAAATGGACAAACGTGTTGAAAGAATCTCCAAAAAAAAATTCACTGAAGCTGAATGCAGCCTCTCACAACAACGCTAGCTGGTATACAGATGCAGATGGATTCCCATGGAGGAATTCTGTACTATAAGAAACTTGGCCACCAAAAAATTATTTCAGAGTTTTTTTGCCCCCCTGTACAGTTCAGTGGCATTACGTACATTCACATTGTTGTGCAACAATCACCACCATCCAACCCCAGAACTTTTTCCATCTAGTATAATTGAGATGTTGTGATTTTGTATGCATTAATCAATAACTCCTATTCCCCCTTCCCCAATCCCTGGCGACCACCTTTCTACTCTTTGCCTCTGTGAGTTTGACTATTCCAGGTACTTCATAAGAGTGGAATTATAGAGTATTTGTCCTTTTGTGTGTAAATAGCTTTTTAATATTCTTTTTTGGAAGATTCTTTTAAAACACATTTTAAAAATTGTAAGACTAATGTTTGTTTATGGTGAAAATTTCCAACTTTATAAAAATACTTTTTTATAGGCTGGGTGCAGGGACTCACATCTGTAATTCCAGCGCTTTGGGAGGCGGAGGTGAGAGGATTGCCCGAGCCCATGGTTTGGAGACCAGCCTGGATAACTTGGCAAGACCTCCTCTCTACAATAAAATAAAAATTTAAAAAATTAGCTGGGCATGGTGATGCACACCTGTGGTTCCAGCTACTTGGAAGGCTGAGGCGGAAGGATCACCTGAGCCCATCAGGTGGAGGCTGTGGTGGCCATGAGAATGCCACTGCATTCCAGCCTGGGCAACAGAGTGAGATTCCGACTCAACAAAAAAAACCAAAAACTTTTTTATAGTAAAAATCGAAAGTTCCTCTTCCCTACAATGTCTATTACTGCTCACCAAAAGTAACCATTGTTAAAATTTTTGGCCATTCTTCTGTAACTCTTGTATACAGGCACAGGACATGCACACACACCTCTTTACTTTTTCTGACTTTTTTTTGAATTTTAAGAGGGATAGTATGCATACTGTTGTACAACTTGCTTTTTTCACTTAATGTATCTTGGAGATTTTCCCATAGCAAGACATATGTTCTTAAATTAATCTTTTTTAACTTAATAAAGTAATTCTGAAGCATATAAAAGAATAGTCAGAAATGACAAAGAAAATATTGGAAAAAAGCTACTAAAAAAGAAAAGTATAAAATTAAGATAGTTTGATAAAAGTGGAAGAATAGGAAAATCAGTAGAGCAGAAATTAATCTTAGGAGTGAACCCTAGACCATAAAAGCTTTCAGTTGAATTCAAATGTTTTAAAAATCAATAGAAGTATATTATTCAATAAACATGCAGGTACAGTTGTTTAACAATTGAAAAAAAAAGATCACCTCACCTGATAAACCAAAAATGAATTGCAGATTTATTAAAGCATTAAGTGTTTAAAATGAAAACAAAACAAAGCAAACAAAAACCAAAATCACCAAATATTTAGTAGAAAATAAAAATGAATATTTGCCTAGCCTTCTGTGAGGAAGATTTTCTAAATGTACAAGCAGGGTTAGACATTTTAATGAAATCACTTGAGAAACTGACAATTTAAGAATGAAAAAGTCAATAAAATATGATAAAGATTAGCTTTGAAAGATTCTTGTAAAATGTATAACACCATGTCACTATACTCATTATATAAAATCTTTCTTATAAAATTAAAAAATGCAAGCATCCAATAGAAAAAAATAAATAATGTACACAGGAATAAATAACCTATAATGCTATAACATAAATGGCAAGTAAACATATGAAATATATTAAATTGTTCTAGTAAGCAAAGTAACAAAAAGTAAAAGAATAATTCTTTTCAAACATCAAATTAGAGAAGATTAAAAACCTGATAACGTTTAGTGTTGGTGAAGATATGAATAAATGGACACTCATATATGAGAGGGACCCAAAAAACCCGAGATTTATTTATAAAAAATTGTTTGTTTATTCTTGTGTTTAAACTTCGGTCACCTTCAAAGTACTCACCGTTTGATGCAATACACCTATTAAGATGCCTTTTCCACCGCTCAAAACAGTTTTTGAACTCATCAATTTTGATGCATTTTAGTTCTTCTGCCATTTTGTTTCACCTCTTCCACATCTGCAAAACGTGTCCCTTGGAAGACTTTTTTCATCTCAGGAAACAAACAAAAAACAGGTGCTAGGCAAGATAGGGTGAATCGGGAGAGTGGGGCATGAGGATCATGCTGTTTGGGGTCAAAAGCTGCCGAACACTCGGCCCTGGGAGGGCAGGTTGTTCCTGTAAACCCTCCGTCATAAGATGGGCAAACGTGTTGGAAAAATCCCCCCCCAAAACTCACTGAAGCCAAACGCTGCCTCTTACCACAACGCTCCTGGTAAACTGATGCCTATGGGTTCCAAGAACACTTGCTTAGCAGGGGCAGCCTGTATTACAAGGGCCCACCCTCCAAAGGATAAGTCGGTGGGTTTTTTTGGTCTCTTCTCTTACTTTCATTTTGGAAGACACCTTAGCCTATGTAGAAAGATGTGCAAAAAACCTTTTTGACCCTGAAATTCTCCTTTTGGAAATTTAACTGGAGGAAATAATTATAGACATATGCAAATATTTGTCTACAGAGACGTTCACATAGCATTGTTTACAATGTAGAAAAATTAGAAGTCACCAAATATATAGTGTTAGAGAACTTGGTAGATAAACTATGGGGAGTTTATACTGTGGAATACTACTGTTATTTAAAATAATTCTGTTGAGAAATATTTAATGGCATGGGCAAATGTGACATTTTTTAAATGAAGTGTCACTCACAAATGAGTAATGTCATATATCCTAATTATTTTTTAATACATACTAGTGCATAGAATGTGTGCTGTGAGGATATACCCTAAAAGATTGACAGTTGTTATAATAGGATTATGGGTAATTTTAATTGTATTATTTTTGTTATTTCCATAATTTCCACAATGACTAGATATTACTTTTGTAATCTGAAATAAAGTTATAAAAATAAAATATTTTTTAAAAAATGTTTATGATACAGACATTGTTTATTTATGTTTTCCTTCAAGTGACTTGTTGGTTTGTCTTACTTTGGCAAAATCCCAGGTGAGCTTCTAGGCACTTTATTTAAAAAAACAAATCAAGTAAATCATTACACTAAAATCATATATTGATTTTGCAAAAACAGTAATTTTTTGTTAGACAACGTCACAGAGCTAACATATGTGATATTTTCATTTTTAAAATGAAACAAATGACTATTATAATTAAAGGAATTCAATTAGCATTATATGCCTTCATATAAAGATTAAATGGGTCCTCCTTACTCCACACCAAATTATATGAGATAGTCCACTGTCATTTTTTTAACTAAGAGGAACACGAAGAAAAATAATTTTATAATTCAGCAACAAATAATCTTTTACAAATAAAAAATATCTCAATATTTTTCCATGTACTATCCCTAGGGAAAAAAACATATCATAAAATATGGCAAATAAGCTTCTAGGAAAAGTCTACATTTGTTCTTTCTAGGAAATGCTGACTTGTTGACTTGGTGACAAACGTGTGTGTGTGTGTATATATATATATCATATGTAATAAAATTATACTGAAAACAAAATTGTCAAATGCAAAGCAGCTAGTTAAAACTACCTATTTTTGCTTGTATGCCCTTCTTTCATTTACTATTTATATTAGCAAAATAAACTTTATACAATCCTCAAATAATTAATATAAAGCTTTAAAAGACTCCCAAATAGCAAATACATATTGCATGTAATCTTCTGGAACCTGATTTTAGGGACGACTAATTTTGCTGGCAGTATGATAAGGAACAATCTGAATGACATGTAAACAGGAGGGGGTAAATTCCCAGCATACCCTGAATGAAAAGTGCAACTCGTTTCACATAACCCAGACGTCTTTTTAACACATCAGTACAGTCACCATCTAAAACCAGGTGCTGTTCCCAAAGGAGAAAACACTGCCCTCCAGTGGTCTTCAGTGGAGAAATGGAAATAGTTTCAGGTACCATGATTGCAGCATTTACATGAAACATGGTGTATTTATCTAGTCTCATTTTTGGCTGTATTTCTACAGCCAAAACTTACATCTACAACCAAGCATAAGAATAAAACTTCCAAGATAAATTCTAATAAGTAGGCAGTTCTCTATTTAAATAGAAATATTAACTAGGAGGATTATGACTTTCTGACCCGAACAGGTGACCATTTATTTGACCATCAAAATTGGATTCTGGGCGTCACCTATAGTTCTCACTTCCTAGATAAGAAAGAAGAAATTTCATCTCTATGTTTCCCTTGTTGGCCAATTTTTCAGCTAAAAGACATTTAAAATTGTACAGCAGGCAGAACCCCAGGGGACTGAACAGTGTTCCAACATCCTTAAAGGCTTCCCATCACTTGAAAAACCAAATTCTTCCTCCTGTTTCTTAAACTAACCAAAGTAGGCAAAAGCAATTTTTAAAAGTCTTTGTGTCTAGCATTGGAACTTTCTCATATTTCACACCATTATATAAATGTCACTCTAACCTATATGTATCACAAATGCTACGCTAAATTAGGGCCAAATTTGCAACCTAGTTTAACTGGGTTTCCTCTTTTTGCAAATGCAGTTTTTGTGTCTGCATTTAGCAATGCATACAAAACTGTCCGTATAGCTAACTGCTTCGAATTGCTAAATTTGAGGATGGATGTGTAGATCTCCCAGTCTTTATGTATGTGCCAAAGCAATTCTGTTTCTAGTCATATGAAGACTTCCTAATCAAATGGACCTCAACTACACTACTAAATTCTTGGACCACATGATCTACTTTTTTGGATTTAGTAAAGGAAAATGGAATTTTAAGAGGGGAAGAAGACAGTTTTCAAACCTCCTTTATGCCTCTATCCTTCAGACACCAGAGTGGGTAGGAACATGGACTTTAGTCCCACAGCCCTAGGGGCCATCCATTACTAGCTATGTGATGGAAACTTAGTCTAATTTTTCTCATCAGTAACACAAAGATAATAATGCTGGGCTCCCTAAGTGGTTATTATGACTGAACAAGGAATGTATATGAAGTGTGTAGCACAGAGAAAAGGTGTAAGCAAGAAATTATTATTCTATTACCATCATTTCTTAGATTATTAATCCAATGGCCAAGTAAATTTCCTAGAGGCATAATTTTCTAAAATTAATCACCGTTTATCATCTTAAGTAATGGCTTCTCATTCCATTTACTATGTAGAAAATGTCCTGAGTTCTCCAGAAGAATTCTTTGAAACCCATGCCCTGGGCTAAGAGAAAATATTGTAGCATTATACTGCTCAAGTATAGCACTCTTAAATAGGAATCAAGTTTTTCGTCTTTCCATTCCCATAGAAGGTGGTATCTATTACATATTAATCAGGATTCACAAAGCACTTGAGGACATAAAAGATAAAAACATAAAAATTATAATCATTACAAAGGTGGTATAGTAACTAGACACATTTGCCTATATTTTCGTAAATTATAAAGTTTCTGGGTTTGAAAGTATAAAGTTCCACAACCGTACCTGTTTTGGTTATTTAATTCAATTTAGGAAATATTCATTTCAGAAAGAAAAAAAAAAAACTTCCTTTAGGAGATTAATGAGATATCCTTTGAGAGTAAGAAAAAATCTACACATACATCTTAATAAGACATATCATTTCTTATTTTCACTAGCTGTGGTAACAAGTTTTTACTGAGCCATGGTCCCGTACCTTCATCTCCTCTCTATGTGTACACCTGCAGCAGTATAACACACAGTTTTATCTGGATAAATTCACTGAGTATCGTCTTCCCTGTCCATAATGTCTTACCAATAATCTCATTATGATACATTATGTCATACCACATAGGATATTTGATTGCTCAAAATAGTTCTTATAACTCAGAGTCAAGCTATGATTTAAAACAAAAGAATAAATTGATGAATTGAGAATGCAACAATGATTTGATAAATTTTCGGTATCTATTAAACTCTTAGAAAATATTGAGAGAAAGTATTACTTAAAGATAAAGCATAGTAAATACATTAAATATTGCAATAGTGTATATGTGTTACATTGAAGCCTGTATATAAGCATTACTATGTAACAATAAATGCAAAGAAAATAAGCTTTGATTATAGCTAATCTAAATTAACCTCAAAATTTGACAATTAAACCTATGGATTTGTGATAAACATTCTGAATTTTTATAAATGCATTATATTTGTAACAGTGCCAAAATAATCTAAAGTCAGAACACTTTTTCTGGGTATAATTATATTATTATAATTCTCTACCTTGACAGATGACAATTTTAGAACACCCTAAATACAATTTCTAGTATATGCACTAAAATAAAATGTAACAGATAGACAACTCACCATAGTATAAGTAACACATTCAAATTTAGTAATTTATTTTCCAGGTGGAAACCAGGCTTCTTGGAAGACTTCAAACTATGCCAAATGGTCTGATTTCACCATAGAGGTAGGCACTAGAGGACTAAATTTACTTCTGTGTAATTTTTGTTAACTACATTTTACATGCAAATGTCTATACAATCATGTTAATGAAGTTATAGAGAAGAAAAGAAAGTTGGCATTCCCATTTTTCTGTTTTATTCAAAAGTGACTCTTCAATAGAGTTGCTGTCATTTTGTCATTTTTTTGTTTAATCATGAGAAAACAGAAAAGTCTAACAATGCATCCAAATTGGATTAAAAGTCAAGAAAAACATTACCTTACTTATGAATAAAATTTAGACTTGACTTTATCCCCCCATACCTTTTTAGTCTTCATAACATTGGATGCTTCTACTGGAATCAGACAAAAAGTTTTTAATCATAAATATGGAGAAAAGTGCAATCCTCCGATCCAGAGTTGGTTACTTAGAAGAAATAAATTTTTTTCTTCTTATCACAGGGTTCAAAATTTTCTGCACCTTAAATGGAATTGGATGTTTAATTGACAGTTATCCAAAATCTTTTTTCCAATAAATGTAAACAAGTATATCTAAATTTTACATGGGTTAATTTCCTATTAAAATGCTGATCTTCAAGCTTCAAAGCCCATATTGGCAATAAAAGCATATAGCATCCTTTCAATTGGAACATTAATAATCCAAAATATCTCTCAGATTATAAAAGTATTATTAGGGTGTCTGACAAAAATAAGTTGATTTGCAGTAAAATGCAAAGTAATATCACTAGAAGTGTAGGTGATAAAAGGAGAAAAAGTCAGAAATAATGGTTGCAACCTGCATTTATGGAACAGGTTACAGCCAGAACTAGATACAATTTCATCCCATAACATCTAGAAGAATAAGGCAAAATAAAACTTCACCCTGACACATTAAAGGGAATCGGAATCTTGACCCAAATTTCAAACTCCTGTAACTTGGAAATACCTGTAAAACCTCCAGCACCAAGGTTTCTGAAATTTGTCACATCACAGAGATAGAGAGATCTTCAAGCATGGAAATATGACTATTAAGAATTCACAGATCATCTGAAACATTTGCTAATCACCCCTCCCACCCCCCACAGTCCTAGAGAGAGAGAGAAAGAGAGAGAGAGAGAGAGAGAGAGAGAGAGAGAGAGAGAGAGGGAA